TAAAAAAAAAGTTATACTCACCCGAACCACCTGACCAGTGATCGATCGAAAGTTCGAACGTATAGAGTTCTGGGACCGCATGACTTCCGGTTTCCTTAGAACTACGAGGTTTGAACACAAAACGTCTTCTGCACGAGCGCCATCTGCGGCATTGCTCTATACACATGCACCACAGCAATAAAGTAATAAAATGAACTCGTATCACAGTAATCAAGCACGTTATTAATCTGACTTGCCACACTCAAGCGGCGGCCATAGAGTTGAGTGGGGCACGGGAGATAAATAACGTACTTCATTAGTGTGATCCGACTTCATTTTATTACTTTGGTGTATGTCTATAGGGCAATGCCGCGGATGGCGCTCCTGCACAACAAATTTCTTGGCTAAACATCGTAGTTCTAAGGAAACCGGAAGTCATGCGGTCCCACAACTCGATAAGTTTGAACTATCGATAGAACACCGGCTTTTATTTCAGCGTGACGCTGTGTTGAGACGGGAACGGGGGACTATAGAAATCAATGTGATTTCTTGTGCGGAGTTTTTCCGTGCTGAAAAATACGAGCTACAAACGCCCTGGTGTGAACAGGGACTAAGAGAAGAATGTTAATAGAAAAGGGAAGGATGTTAAAGAAGAAAGAATAAATGAAAGCGCAGTGGGAGGTAAATGTAACATTGTGCTTTACTCTTATCTCTGGATTGAGTGCTCTGGTAATCTAACTTTGTCTCAGTACACTACAACTCCTAGCAAATTGTTTAAAGAAGAACTCCAGTCAAAGAAAAAAAACTTACCCTTGCAGTGGGGCTACCCCTGTACTGAAAGGGTTAACTGCTGATTTTGTCTAGGGAACTCAGATAAACCTGTTTTACTTACCTGATTTCAGCTTCCATGGTGGTCAGCACTGCCTTTCTCTCCCTCTGCTTTGACTGGTGGAATGTCCCTCTGCATCCTCACGTCAAATGCAGGTCAGTGGATCTGCAAAAGACATGATTAAGTCAGACCACCAGAGCAAAGGGGAGAAGAAACTGTGGGGACCAGTCTAGCAGCCCTGAGCTAGCTGGCAGGGCAGAGGATCGGGTAAGTAAAACAGCTTCAATAGTTATCCCTAGACAAATGGATCACTTAACCTTTGCAGTGCAGGGGTAGCTCCACTGCAAGCATAAGTTCTTCTTTAAATTGAAATATGGGCCGTATGTGGGCCTCTGGCAGTATTCTCTTTTGCATTTCATAGAGATTGGTGTGAATCTAGTTACCCGCTTTTGCCACTGATTTCTGCTTCCCCTTTCCTCTCTATATTGTGTTCTGTCTGTTCATCAACATTTTCAAAACCTCACTGGGACATCGGATTCTCTTTCAATGAAAACTTGCTATCAACTTGTTGGTAACTAAGTTATCATAATAGCATTTATATGAAGAAGACTGGTGCTTAATGAGATGTTGGCCAGGGCTGGTAGAGGAGTCAGCCTCAAAGCGGAGACATTGGAAAAGGGGTCCCAACAACTTTATTGACACTGTCTGGGCCCCTGTTCTAGATGGAGGCCCTCTCTACTATACAACATATAATTTGCCAAACAGAAGAGGAGGAGTCCTGCTGTGTCGGGTGCCTCTGGCTTATGATCTGCTAACAGTTCTGGGGTGGCCCGCAGTGTTTCCTTTCAAGGGCCTGACACCAACAGCCTACAATGTTGTCCCCTGCTTGGGTCTTTACATTTCTTCTCAGCTCTGTCACGTGTTACCCCCTCCTTGGCTTTAACCCGAGAGGATCACCACAATTTATGGGTCAATTTGCAATTTTGATTGCAGACTCTGACCATAGAGGACATAGGTGTACCATAATAGCTTCATCTCCAAAATCATTATTTGACCTGCCTGCAGCCTTAGAGGCCCCTGAGCCTACAGTTACGCAGGCTTTATCTGATGAAGAGTCTCACAAATCTCTGCAGTATGAGATTGCCCCTGGGGGAGTTGCAGGCAGCTGTCATAACTCCTAGGCTGAGAGAGGCCATTTCAGCTCTTTTTGATTAAATGCATGCCAACCTGTAGATGCAGGAACAGTCTGTAACAGCTACCAGTGTTGCTCCCAGTCTAGGATTCCTGAGAGGTTCTAAGACCATTAAAACCTTTCCCATACACAGGATTTCCAGACATCTACACTAAGTGGGAAACTCTCATTAAACTATTTACATCTCCCAAAAATTTTGAAATCAAATACCCATTTGAGGAGGCCTTTATCAAAAAATGGTCCAGCCATGCCCCCTCTTAAAAAAACACTGATGATTCCTGTAGAGGATGTGCCAGCATTTAGGGTTGCCATAGACACATTTAGAGACTCTCTTCAAAGCCTTGTTTTTTACTAGCAGTAGGGATGGGCTCGATGTTCAAGTCGAGCGCGATGTTCAAATCGGCAGTTCATGTGTTCGGCGAATACACGAACTGTCAGGGCGTTTGGCAGGCCATTCGCCCGCCGAGTGCCCCACAAGGCGCTGTGCACCATACAGTGCTTTGTGAGCCCTGATTGGCTGAACCTGACCACAGGTTAGGTGCAAGACTTTGCCCAATCAGGGCCCAGTACTCTGTAAGAGAGGGCCTGGTATGAATTTGAGGGGGAACCCCATGCACTTGTTTTTTTTCTCGTTTTTTTTTATGGGGTCTCTCCTAAAATTCCTACCTGACCTAAAGGGTCTGGTATAA